AAAAAAAAAAAAAAAAAGTGTGTTCAAGTATATAGTTTTAAAATCAATATTTTTGCCAAGATAATAGCATCCTACCTTGAAGTGAAAGTCTTCCATGTCAGGGTATCATGTTTATCTTATATGACATCTATCAGCCCCACACATCTCTAATCAATTCTGAGTACCCACAGAACTCTATAATATGGGTAAAATAAAATAAAATACATATTAGGACACAGGTTTTTAGAGAAGTAGTTCTGAATAGGTATATTTTAGCTACTGAACGTGTTTGTAGTTCTTGTGTCATACCCATGTCTGACAACTCACCTTTCACAACAAAATATTCTTTTCAGGGACATGGCCTTTGCTTCTCAGATGTAATGCACTTTCAGTTTATTATTCAACAGTGAAAATGAGTCATACAGAGGTAACATTTTCATATGTTCTCTATCATCAGTTTTTATTTATTTACTTAGTAATCATATGGCTTCAGAGTACTTTACTTATTTCCATCTGCCCTGTGAGAGGCAGTTCAAAGTCATTAAGAGGTACAACTCTGGAGCAGCCTGCCTGAGTTTGAATCCTAGTGTATAACTATAAAAACTCAGGCAAGTTATTTAACCTGCTGTGCTTTATCTCTTAAATGGGTATAATGATAGTGCTTGCATAGAATTAGGAGGAAGATTTAAATGAGTTAACACATATAAAGCACTTACAGAATGTAACATACTGTAAGCACTATATGTTAATAATAGTATTACTTTTTATTTGGAGACCATGACTTGAGTCATGACTTTTACCAAATGTGTATAAGCTATTTAGTTGTCTGAAGAGTCAAAGGAGTAATTTTATTTTAATCCCTTTATTCTCTTCCATTTTAGGTTAAATTAAAAATACCTTTTGGAAATAAACTACTGGATGCTGTTTGCTTGGTACCTAACAAGAGTTTAACGTATGGAATAATTCTTACACATGGAGCATCAGGAGATATGAATCTTCCTCACCTCATGTCACTAGCATCACATCTTGCATCTCATGGGTTTTTTTGCCTGAGATTTACCTGCAAAGGCCTTAATATTGTACATAGAATTAAGGCATATAAAGCAGTTTTGGTAAGAAAATTTCTCTATAGTTACTTTAAGACGCGGTTTTAAATTTGTAATAAGTTTAAGGAAAATCTTGTTAGCAGTCATTGTTTTACTGAAAAATCTTTTAAAGAGATCCTTAAAAGTTTCCAGCAGTACCTGAAGGCTGTTGAATGGTCAGATCTCTCTTTTTTGCCATTTGTTGGTGTCCATGGATATGAATGCTTACATTATAAATGTTCCCTCAATGATTCTACCCAATAAGGTACTTATGATTTTCTCACTGGAATTATATAACTTTAGAATATAGTTCTGACATTTGGAGTCCTTTATCTACCACCTTGTGCATGTGCAAATAGGACAGTGTTTTCTGTATACATATATATTATTTAGGAACATTGATTAAAATCAGGGGTAAAGCTCAAATCTGAAATTTCTTTTAATCTAAATTATTTCAAGCTTACTAAGTTTTCCAGAGCCTTAAATTAGATGTTAATATTATCAACTTTTATATTAATTGGAAGTCTTTACTGGCCTTTTAAAAATTATTTAAAATACTTCGTTGCTTGACTATTTTATGAAGGTAATTCATTTTTCTCACACATTTGTATTATCCAGAATATGATTTAATAGTGAAAAGATGGCCAGAAGAGGTAAGAATTTTTCAAGAAGACTTTTTAGATTCTGTGGTTCTTTGCATAGATTTTCATTCATGTCAGTAATGATAGGAAATAATGTCTTCAATGTTCAATGAAATATTACATAGGAAAAGAACTTATAATCTTTTGGTTATTTTTATCTAGAATTATCTGAAGACCTCAGGAGAATACAAACTTGCAGGTGTTTTCCTTGGAGGTAAATTGCAAAGTTTGTGAATTCTTGTTAAAGACCTATTTTAATATTAAAATTGATAATGGAGTTAATATAAGAATTACTTTATGTTTTGGTAAGTGGCATCCTTGATGTTAAAGCACTTTACATATTTAAAGCAAATTTAAACTTGTGTATTAGAACCTAAAAATATCTCCTTTTATTTATATGTTGGAATCACTGTTTTGTAAATGATCCTTACACAAGGAATGTCCTCACCCTTTTAAGTATTCCTCAAGAAAAAATTACTTTTTTAAAAATTTGATTTAAGCTTGATCAGTGTTCAGCTTTTCATAAAGCTATAGGTTTCCATTATAGATATTGCAGATGTGTTGTCATCTTTGAAGTTGCATAATTTTTTCTGTTAACAAAAATGTTAAACAGTAAATAAAATCTAATTTTTCCACATTATCACAGCAACTTTATGTTCATGTTTATATTTCAAACTGAACTTAATTTTAATTGATGTTAGGTCGTTCAATGGGCTCAAGAGCAGCTGCTTCTGTAATATGTCATATTGAGCCAGATGAAGCTGATGACTTTGTTCGGGGTCTCATTTGTATTTCTTACCCACTGCACCATCCAAAGCAGCAGCATAAACTCAGAGATGAAGACCTCTTTCGCCTAAAAGATCCTGTACTGTTTGTATCAGGCTCAGCAGATGAAATGTGTGAAAAGGTAAATTATTACAAATTGATGTTTATATGAATGAGGTAAAAAAAAAAAAAAAAAGAAATCAAATGTCTTGGGAGGAAGCTATTACCTGCAACATTCAGTCTCTTTAAAAGAGCCATTTGTCTATTAATATTTGAATCTATTTGTCATCTATAATTTGAATTTTTTGAATGTTTATCTTTTTTAAAAAAGAACTTTATTATAATTTGTCTAATTTGTGTAATGCTAGACAATTAATGCTAATCTAATGCTAGTTGTCCTTTTGTTAGGCTGTTCTTTGAAGAACCTAAAAATATAGGCATATTGAGAAAGATGCATATCCCTGGAAAAACTTGGTAAATGGATTAACCCTTACTTTGAGAAATGAAGGATTTATATCTGAATGTCCTCATTTCTAGAGTGCACATTTGGTTTATCATTTCTACATTCCGACTGTTATAAAATTGACTCTTGAGAAATTGGCTTGGTAGTGTCCATTACTGAATAGTAGCCCAATATTATGAAACAACTATTTCCCAAAGTATAGAACTTCCTTAGGGAAAAGTTTTTTGGTGTTTGTTTGTTTTAATTTTTGAAGGTCTCTAATTTATTTTTTTGTCAATAATAAATGCTTGTTCTGTCCTTTCATACCATTGTATCTGAGAGAAGTGGGCTGCCACTTCTGTGGACATTTCCTTACACATTTCATTGCCTAGAAAGTTGTCTGAATAGTAGATAATGAGTACTTGGTGAGTAGATATTGGTATGGGGGGGAGATAATTTTTTTATTAAATGTCAAAATGGTATGTCTAGTATCTTCTTTGCGTCCTTCCCTTAGAACTTGTTGGAGAAAGTGGCACAGAAAATGCAAGCTCCCAATAAGATCTACTGGATTGAGAAGGCAAATCATTCCATGGCAGTGAAAGGACGGTCAACAAATGATGTTTTCAAAGAAATAAACACACAGATTTTGTCTTGGATCCAAGAAATCACTGAAATGGACAAGAAATAGGTTAAAGCCATGTTATTTTGAATACAAAAACAGTTAATTTGATAAATAACAATATACCTCTCACCATTGAGATATATTTCAGACTAATGTTCTTTAATGTTGCCCTATTTTTGAAACACATTTAATTGTGAAATTAATATACTTTACAAATGTCTTTGAAAGCACTGTTATAGTTGTATGAAGATGATGTACAAATATTGAAGGTGGTCTAAATATAATTTATTTTTATTAGTATAGTTAAGTTTTGAAAAAATTAAACATTTGAATTTTGTTACAGCCATGCTTTTGTCTTATTTGTATGAGAAAATACTTAAATTTTGTGCAGTAGTGTCATCTTTTTAAAAGAGAAATAGGAATTGGGGTTGTACTTCAGGGGAAGAGTATTTGACCTGGCATGAGCAAGACCCTATGTGAATTCCAAGCACTGAAAAACAAAAACCAAATGTACTATATTAGAAAGTGAGCTTTATAGAATATATTCATCTTTTCACCTCACTTTCTAAAGACTCTCAAAGGAGAACAGTGGAGATACATTTCAAATATGGCCTGCCAAAAACTGCTTTTAGAATGAAGTAATAACTTTTAAGAAGTATTTTTACTAAACCCCTATTAGAGGACAAACATCACTCAGTTTACAAAATTGAATAAGCCCATGGAAACAAACATGCTGTCCAAAATTCATGGATGGCCACTCTACAATTAAGGGGAGAATTAAATAATGGCTAACGGGTAGTACTGTTGTGCCACTAGGCAGAATTAAGGCTTATTTTGACCTTGGGAAATTTGTTTTCCGAACTGGGCTTTGAGTAGTATTGAGTTATATATTAAAAACTGATATTTCCTATAAAGTGCACAAGATGATGAGGTTGGTGTTAAATAAATTTGTAGTACAGAATGGTATTCCAAGAAATTTATCTGTTCCCTCAATTTCCTGTTGCTTAAAATGGTAGGCCTTTCCTATAGTTTTGGGTGGCCTGGTTAGCTTTCAGAGTTTTAAGGTTCCTCATTCTTTCTGACCTGGCAATCAATGGGTTTTAATTGTTTTTACTTTTTAAAATAAAATGAAAACCTAGATATCAACATCCAGATATTTTATATTACAGAATGAAATAATGTACAACTAAAAATTCAAAATTCTTATATATATCACCCAGTATATAATAGTTTCTTTTGGACTTATTTCCAGAATGAGGCCCAGTTTTTTTTTAAAGAAAGGTATAATTAGAAATAGTTAACATTTGAAATTTTAAGTATCAAAAGATTATAAGTGGAAAAAAAATTCAAGGCTGTCAAGACTATAATGATTGTTCTATCAAAAATTATAAGTTGGAAGATAATACAGTAAGCCACAAATAAAATTAATGTGAAATAAAATACAATGGACAGCTGCTTATAAATGAAAGCATCTATACAGGTACAATGACAATAGATTTAAAAGTTTACTAACCAGGCAGTGCAGTTGTAATACTCGAATTTACAAAATTATGGTTGTAATATGATTGACCAAACAAGGATAATACTTAAGAGGCTGGAAGGGTGAAGCTCAGTGGTACAGTGCTTCCGCAGCATGAGCCAGGCCCTGGGTTCAATCCTGAGCTTTGACAGAGAAAGCAAAATTACTTCAAATATGAAGATAATGTAGACACTGTTTAAAAGTTGATCTACCCCTGAGTTTCCTAGAGAAAATGTCTACAGCTGAAATGAACTTTTAAGATAAGGGTTCATCTACATGCAAAATATGCACCTTGAGAAGTCTGAGGTGACAGTCAAACATTGTCAATTGTCAGGACTGGGATGGTGGTCCTAGGCATCATAAGAAGAGGGATGTCACTAAATATCCTGTAATGCAGTAGCCACAACAAAGAAATACTCTCTCCAAAATGTCCATAGTTGCCTTGTTTGGAAACTTTTGTCCTAGACAAACTCACTTTAAGATCCTGTAAATGCTTCCTCCCACCGCACCACTGTCCTCTCCCACCCACAAATACATTTCCTTCCCTTTAGTTCCTAAATCTTGGATTTTCAGTGTCTAAAAATCTCTTTCTCATTATTTGCACTGCCATCACTCTATTAAACTATTAGTTCTCATCTCTATAATTTCACTAGCCTGATAGGGTTTTCTATTTTATTGTCTTTTTGCTGTGATAAATCAATAGATATTTCCAGCTGAAAATTTGATGAGTCTCCAAAGATGGCTCCACAATAGGGCTTGACATTTCAGCCATCCCTCCTTTATATTCTGACCTGTAACAGTGCTTTAGCTAACCTGGAGTGCACAAAGTTGTAAAGAAAAGTCTGCCAGCAAGAAACACCCAGATGTGGGCTGAACAACTCAGGTTCAAGCCTCAGCCCAATACCAGGATCAATCTGAATTTCCATGGAGTTGAAATTAGGCTTGTTGGGATTATCTATTATGCCACCCTAATTCTACTGCAGGCTTGCTGGGACCATCCAGAACAGATCTAATCTCTCTGCCTCTGTTGTCTACCAGTAACAACAGAGAAAAAACATGAAATGGACATTTTTACTTTAATTTTTTTCTTGATTGCTTGTTCTAGTTTTTTTTGTGTGTGCGTGTGTAAACATTGATTTTTAAGGGTTTTTTTTTGTTTTATTTTGTCTTGTTTTTATTTCTTCTCTCCCTCCTGTCTTTTTCACCAGTTTGTCAAAACTTGTGTAATCTTCCTTTCTCCCTCAGCCTTGCTTCTAATCTTTCTTTTCTATTTCTCTTTTTCCTCTTGCCCCTTTAAATTTTCCTTCCCTGCGGGTAGAATTTCTCTATTGAAGGGATATTTATTGTATATAATTTTTGAGTTTGTTTTAAATTTTGTGATATAACTATAAATCTTGATCCTGTGACTAAAGGTGGCAAATTAATAGTTACACAGTTTGTCATTTTCTAGGCTGTTTGATTGATGCTATTGTTTCACTGACTGTACTACTTTAGTCAAGGTGAAATAGTTGTTATGATCAGTTGTTTTTTCATATATGCCAATAATGAGTTTGTCTAAGGGTCATAAACAATACCATAGTCCAGTACAAAAGAACTGAGTGCTAGGCCAAATAGGCAGCAACTTCTCATCCCTAATACATTGAAGAGGTAGTATCTTGGGACAAACTTAACAGCCAAAAGCCAGCTACACCGAGAATATATCTCTGAAAAGTAGTCGTTTCCTAAGGAGCTCTCTATACTAGTAATAAAGCTACCTACCATAAGCAATTTGGAAGCATCAATGCAGAAAACAAATTTAGCTTGTTTTTTTGGTGTGTGTGTGTGTGTGTGTGTGTGTTTTTGAGACAGGGTCTCACTCTGTAGTTGAGACTGACCTGGAACTCACTATGCAGTCCAGGCTTGTCTCAAACTCACACCGATCCTCCTGCCTCAGCCTCCCAATTACAGGCATGTGCCACTATGCCTGGCTCAGAAAACAAATTTTTAAAAAATAGAAAATGCGAAGACACAGAAGCAAGATGCAACCCTAGACCTCCAGGCTGACCAAGGCAAATGCAGGGAGCAGTGAAGTAAAAGAAATCAAAAGCGACCCACCTGAACTTTCTGAAAAGGTAGCAAAGGAAGTAACAAAGCAGGTGAATGAGGTTCTAGAAAAAAAAAGTCAAATAATTTCTCAGATAACTAAAGAGATGATGAACATAATGAAGGACATGATTTGTAAATCTAGAATAGATACAGATTAAAATAAATGAGCAGCTGAAGAGAATGGTAGAAATCATGAATGCCCAACAAAGGAAAGAAATGGATTCCATGAAACAGATATCCAGGAGAGTAAAAATTCTAATTAACGAAAGTATATGCAGTAGAATCAACCAATGTGAAGACAGAATATCACATCCAGAAGACACATTTATAGTTAGCAAAGATCAAATGACTGACTTCTTAAAAATAGTAAGGGACCATGAAAAATCAATCCAACAGTTGCTAGATGATGGAAAGAATAACATAAGATTGATTGGAATCAATGAAAAATCAGAAGGGGTCACAAAAGACTAAAAAAAAATGTTCACAGAAGTAACCTAGAAAGATGTACCCCCGCCAAAAGTATCTTTCAAAATTGATGGAGAAATAAGATACTTCCATGAAAAAGAATACCTGAAGAATTTCATGACCACCAAGCCAGCACTCCAAAAAGTTCTGAAGAATATTCTAGAAAGAGACAATGAGGACAACAGTTCTATGAACCCCAATAAAATAAATCCACCAGGTAAGGCAAGCAGTTAAATAGGGGAAGAAGGGAACCAACAACAGTAAAATAACATGACAAAGATAAGTCAATACAAATCAGTTATAACCATCAATGTAAAGGGTCTCAATTCACCAATCAAAAGAAACAGACTGGCAGAATGGATCAAGAAGCAAGGTCCAGCAATATGCTGCATACAAGAAACACATTTAACTCAAATTCATAGACTAAAAGATCAAAGGATGGAAAACAAGACTCTATGTGACAGGAATCCAGACGAAAGCATGGGTAGCTATTCTATTTGCAGACAAAGTGAATTTTAAGCTAAGACTGATTAAGAGAGTCAAAGAAGTTTCCTACATCCTTATAAAGAGAACAATCCAAAAGGAAGAGATAGCAATCACAAATATGTATGCACCAAATACTTGTGCACACAACTATATAAAACAAATGTTAATGGGGCTGGGGATTTAGCTCATTGGAGTCATTCCTGCTTCAAAAGCACAAGGTCCTGAGTTTGATCCCCAGTACCAAAAACAAACAAACAAATACAAATGTTAATGTATGTGATAAATCAAATAAGCACTAATACATTTGTAACAGGGGACCTCAATACTCCACTGTCACCACACATATCAATTAGAAAAAAATCAACAAATATCAGAGCTGAACCAAACCTTTGAACAAATGACTTAGTAAATACCCACAACAACAATACACATTTTTCTCACCCACACTCGAACTTTCTCCAAAATACACCACATGCTAGCTCACAGAACATGCTGAGGGAAAGGCAAAGGAAATTGAAATTATGCCATGCATACTATCATTTTCAATTCTTTTAAGATCTTTTCAGTGAGATACTAGTTAGGGATTCTGTGCCATTAAGCTTTAAAAACTATAAGGAACTAGAGAGTAATGTGTTGAAAGAATGAATCACCTTTAAGGTAGTTGACATTAACTAAATTAAAGAATTTCTGTAATC